TTGGAAGTTGAACACAGTTGTTGATTGTCATCCTTSTACATTGTCAAAACAAAGCAGGTAAACTAAAGTACCAGTTAGCCCTCAAACAACAAAAAAATGCCCTTTTGTCACTAATGTTGATTCTGTGTGTATTTCAAAATTTGTCAAAATTGAACATAAGATTAGCCTGGTAAAAACCAGCCCCTTGTTCTTCCCTKTGCTTCCWACAGAGGGTCTGAACTCTCKGCTATAGAGAAGCRATTCTTGCTGGAGGCGTGGCCTCTGCTGAAGTTTAAAATGATTGGATTGGTTGGCTGCAACGTATGTGTGCGCCAGCTCCATTGTGAAAGAGGCTAAGCTAAGAAGCTAACCGGAAACTGCATGCGTTGCACAACCCTACTGAGGAGAGAAGTACCGAACCGAACAACATGGCTGTAAATGATGCTGCAGGCTTTGTCGGACAATTTTAATTTCATTCAGAAGCCTTACCAACACAGACTGGCTTCATTCACTTCCTCCACTGCCATTGCTACACTATAAGCAGACACTGCACAGAAAATTGATGTTGTCATTCAAAACACCTCCTTCTGTTTGCCGATTGGCTCAGGTAAAATTCTTAAGAAATCCTTGTCTATGGGAGAAATCCCAGACAGAGCAGTGATGGGAAACTAGAATTGAGCGGAACTGCWTAGGAAGGCAAGGGCCAGGCTGATTTAAGATAGTTAAGAAATAAAACTGCACTTCTGTTTTTTTTTTCCTCACAGAAAGATTTGTTAGGTTGTTGACCAACCAGGTGTGGAGTTTGAACAGGCCCATAATTCAACTGCTGAACAAGCCTTCCTCTTTCTCCTCCTTGTGTATTTAGACACAGCTCTTATCAGCATGGAAACATACAACACAGGGTTAAGTTAAACTTGTAAAACAGGATCATTTTAGCTTTGATTTACCTACTGCAAACACATTAAAAATCCAGGCAGTGTGCAGAAGATGCTATCATATATTACCCATGTTGTTTTCMTGATGAAACCTGAGTAATGTTCTCCTGGACTGCAAATATCAAATAATCAAGGAAACTCAAAGTGTCTTATCCTTCACCTTTTCTTACATTCAGTCAAACTTCCCCCTCCAAGCAAAAAACATAAAGAAGACATCTCCCACCTAAATCAAAACCATTTAYGCTTTCCACTGCTCAGCGGGTGTTCTCGTCTGGTATTTCTGATGCAGCAGCGTCAACAAGAGGAGCAGATAACAGCCTGACTGTGGTCTTTTGGCAGCTTTGCAATCATCTGTGCAGAGGAGGCTGTTTGTTTTGAGTGGAAAATGCTTGTCAGCTTTTACTGAACCACTAACTTCAACATCCGTGTTGCTTTAAACTATCAAAAGCCTTRTTCCCCTGACATCTTCAAAGCATTCTGACAAGTTTTGGACATAACATTGCTGTTTTGATTTACCAAATCAAATGTCGGAGGAAAAGCAAAAGAAAAAAAATGCCAGAGGGATTACAAGAACTCAAAGATGTGACAACTCAGGCAGAGCTCTGCAACAGTTAGACGAGAAGAAAAGCCTACAGAGGAGCTAACTGTGCTTGCTTCATTAACTAGTGGCCTCTTTGCTCTTTGTCTCTAGGCCTATTGAACTCAACGTGGTGCTTCAGGCCCCTCAGACTGCAGGCTGAGATTCTTCTTGGACTAAAAGAGGCGGGGAGCGGCGCGGCGAGGGCCGAGCATGACTAATGCAGGAACCTGGTGATGCTGTTGCATGCTGGTGAAGAGGGGGCGATATGGCAYGGCCCGCTGCTGCTGCATACAGAGCAGCACAATAACCTTAGTCGCCGTCGCCCCTCCCTGTCTGTCACACCCTCCCTCCCTCTCCATACCACCCCACCACACCCCCTCATTCATTCATGGCAGATCTTTTCAGCAGGTCATTTAGAGGGCCAATAAGGACGCTAACTYATTCTGCCGCTAAGAAATGTGCAGTGTCAGAAAAAGGGAGATGGGGAGGAGGAATGGTGGGGGTGGGATTCCAAGAGGGCTTACGGTCTCTTCAATAAAGGAGGCTGCTGTTTTGAATCTGTGGAGAATTTATTCCGCCAAACCATGAAAAGAGAAAAAGTGAGACATGAGGCAGCATGTCTTGTACGCCTTTTTTTTTGTCTAATTATTGCAGAAATGGAACCAGAAACGAACTGAACAAAACAATCAGCATTTCCCAGAACCAGCGGTAATAAAAGGARCTCGTTCTCCAAGACGAAACGTAGCTGATGTCAAAGCAGTGACATAGAAAAAGGAAGCGGCTCAAATGAGCCATTTTTGAAAGTGCCAGTCCTCATACCTTTTYATGAGAAAGTTAAACCAGGACAGGAAAAACATATTTTTATATGAGGGTTTCATTTTTCTATTTCAAATTTGAACATTCAAGTTTGATCATTTAAATTTAGGAAAAAACTCCAACTTTTGCCTTGAGTGAGCTGGAACTCTGTCTGCAAGTGGTTCTGCTGAGCGTCGCGGGCCGACTGTGGTTCCTGAACTTTGCTGGCGAGATGGAATTGATCTTGGAGAAGCTGTGAGCTCGGCTCGGTGGAATTGTCCACACTATTTATCCGATTGGATTTGCCACATTGAGATGTACCAGCGGACATTAAGRCAGATGGAAAATTCTTATTGTCTGTCTGACCCAAAACCATTTCTTCTGTTCCCAAACAACTGATTACAGATTCGGCTCTCCTCACCCACGCTGACCTTGAGGCTGTGGACCTAATTTCTCAGGGGGTGGTTGGCTCCTCCCCCATCTCTACCCCCCCTCACTCAGTCTAATCTGATCTCCTGAAGGTCAACCTGGAGCTGCACAGAATGAACAATTCAACACCAATATTCTGAACGAATGGCTGAACTACRRGTTTTTCTTTTGGGAGGCTAGGTTCTTCTGACTATTTCCTCTAAACTCACTTACTCCTCTGGCTAATAAATGTGTTCTTGCCTGTAGAGTTTTTTATGTAAACACCATAGTGTATCATATTTAGTTTATATAATGTGATGTTTTGTTATTTTTCCTCATCTAACCTTCTGTAGTATTTTGTTTTTTTCTTTTAAAAAAAAGGTAGCACGACCCCTGCTGGCTGCTGCATGACCTGATCACCTGTTCCCCCATGTTTTTGTCATGTGTGTGTCTTCTTAAATGTAATTTCATTGTGCTCCATACAATGACAACAAACACTGGGGTGTTAAAGAAGCTATTATTGTTAAGTTTTGCTATAAATCAGATAGCTATGTATGTATAAGTAAAATCAGAAGGTTCACAACATATTCTTTTTAGTTTAAGGTTATATAGATGCAAATGTGACAAGCAACCAGTAATAATRGTCTTTGAGCTCAGTAGCTCAGTGCAATGCAATTATTTCCCCAAGATAAAGYCAGCACAGTCATGTCATGTAAGTCATTAGAGCCCTCATTATAGATCCATATTTGCCTGCAGAACCCACTCCYCATGTGGCTGAGCATGTGTTTGTATGACTGCAGAGGGGACTGCTGGCAGGGTGATAGATGAGGAGCAGTGAGTCTGGAGCTGGAGACATCCACACCTCTGCAGCCTATGAGCAGCCCACAACCCTCCTTTAAAACTGCTCAACTCACATGATTGATAGATAAGATAGATAAATGAAAAGAATTCCACCAACACCCGCAGTCTTCACACATTACCAACCTTCAAGACAAACTTTAAAAAAATCAGACCACATCGCTAAATGAGCCAAAAAACTCTCATGCACTCCCACTTATTCCCACAGTTCGTTCCAGCAGACAGTGGAGCATCTCTTTTTCCATCCAGCGGGAAGCACGAAAAGCAAATTGCTCCCCCCTCAAAATTAAATAAATAAATAAATAAAAAATCAGCCACAGTTTTATGAGAGCGCCACTGCTGAGAGTGAGCAGAACAAAGCTGCACACTGCACACTTCAAACAAGGATGCAGGATGTTGTGTAATCTCGCCCAGATGTTCTCTACAGCTCATCTAAGTAATAAATGCAAGAAAGTCAAATTAATTCTTCAACWACCTCACATCTGAGGCTGGACTATTTTTCTACTGAACCCCCCTGYKGGGACTTGCTGGTAAGTGGAATAGTCAGTTGTGCCCTATTAATGACAGCCTATAAGAGACAGCTGCTCCTACTACAGGACAGGTAACATTGGTCCAACAAACTACTGTCCTACTTAACTCTGTCACACATTCAATTTCTTTTAAACGGATCCTGTAATTTCTWAAGCCAGCTTTAATTTCTTCCACCGAGACAAAAACACTTGCACACGAGTGTGTGGAATCTCCTGTACAAAATAAAAACCATTCCTGCAGCTCTGAGGCCTGCACTCGCACACATGAGTCTAATTTACAGTCACTGTCAGCAGATGAGGATTCCTCCAACCACTATCTGATATGTAGAGGGGGTGGAAGAGTCTCTGCCAGCAGCAAAAACATGAGAAACAAGCGGCTGTATGAGCTGAGTCCATGCTGGCATGAACTCATCACTCCATCTCTCTGATGAAGACCAAGATTTGAGATTAGAAGACTTCTGGTGCCTTTCAATTTCATTCTTTAATGTTAAAAAAGGAAAAGAAATATGAAACACAAAAGAATATTAAATGGGCATCAAAGGAAACACCTGAAGGAGCACTTTTTTGTGAAAATTGCAGTCAGATGTATCACATTTACAGGTGTCAAAGGTCACAAATGGAAGAGATTTGGTAAAGGCTGTGTTCTACTGTGTTCATCCCAGTTCAGTGTTTTCCAATTAGCAGTACTGGTTGTTAAAGTATGATAATGAGGAGAAAACAGTCTTTGATCTAGATACAGAGAGGTTTGTAGGTCATTTCCTAAAAATACGAGAATTGCTTCAGGGAGGTTTGTTTAGTGTTTTCCTTCTTGCCCACATGCTGACTGATGCCTTTTGTAGCCAGATTGAAGCAAAACAAATTGACACTTTTTATAGCTAAAATCATTAAAGATCCAAACAGTCTGGAGGCACTCACCGTCACCGGCCGGGATCTCCGCGTCCACACTCCACACAAACAGCAAACACAAAACAACTCCAACCAGCAGGTCGAACGTCTTCACCGCGGCCATATCCAAGTTTAGATCGGTCCCCTCCACACGCACCGAATCCCGCAGGTTTTTCAGAGTCCTTATGTCTCCAGCACCGCGCTCCGCTTCTTCCMCGGGAGAGGAACTCCGTCCGGAACTCTCCAACCGCTCCTGCTGCTTTTTTTTAAAAAATCGAGAGCTTGGCTGCGTTGCACCGACTGGACTGGACTGARCTGAGCTGAGCTGCTGTRTTTTTGTCTCCAGCGTGCGCCTCTGTCCGCGCGCTGCTGCACGAGCGGCACGACGCGCCTCCGAGCGGAACCCAAGCGGAAATCAGGAGGAGGAAGAGTTCTCTGCGTAAAGGCGCATCTCAGCTCCACGAGTCTGCGCTTCTCAGTCCACGCTCTGATCCGAGCTGAGGAAAGAAGGTGAAGCCGCTCCTGCAGAGAGGACGGTGCGCTTCCACCGTCATCAGTTCCTCTGAGCCAATGGCTTTGTTGTGTGCAGAGCAAACTCACACAGCTGCAAGGGCCACGCTTTGATTATTATAATGAAGCGCTATCACAAGCAGATTTAAATGATTGTGAGGGGGAAGGTTTATTTTATCTGAAAGAGTTTAGATTTTTTTGTTTAAGAGATGYTCTCTTTTGTAGTTTTGCTTCAGAGTTTTGTTTATACTTTACATTTAGTTTTCTTGTTTGTTTGTTTTTTAATAAGTAAAGACATTACACACAGTCAGAGCAGTCAGGTGGCAGGACACTGAGAGCGCCCTCCTCAGGTAATGAACATATTTTAGAAAATCATGAACAACTGGAGACCTTTCTCTGATTATTTTTTCTTAATATTTAGCTATTTTTTACCTTCTGAAAAAATTCCTTTACATGTTTTTTATTAGTAAAATCTGAGACCTTAATTATTACTTCATAGTTCAAAACATGCACTCTTCAGTTCTCCAAACTGCATTTATAGGAGAACCAAAGGTTTTTAAATTAACTTTTAGTCAAAATTCTTTTACTGATGTTTTGTTTTTCACTTTAATGGAAACCTGTTTTTTAAGAACTTTAAATCAAATTGACAAGTTCAGACATAAGGATTCCCACTTGAGAGTTTGTTTTGTGCCTATATGCGAAAGCTATTTACAACCATAAAATTGTGTTAATTTACAAAAAACAGTATGTTTTTCTGCCTAAACCCAGTCAAGCCATTAACTTTGTAATAAAAAAGTCTTTAAAACAAACAAAACTTCACCAGAACATATCACAAAGATAACATTTATTAGATACACTTTTGAAGGACACATATACTGTATGTCTCGGTGCCGCCAGTTGTTCTTTATGAACTTGGAAATGTCTTTTGCTTTACTTTACTTTTTTTCTGCTTCTTCTTAGTTACTGAGCTGGCACTCAGTTTGCACAGGAAGAAGAACTTGGGCCACATGCTTGTTCCAATTAAGAAATTCCCTGTGGGAATTCAGAAGCTTCATTATGGGGAAAAATGAAGAAGTAAAGTCTTGCATAAAGGGCTTCTGTTGGGGTTGGTACATGGTAATAGTTTTAAGTAAAGTTTCCAGGACAAAAAAAAAAATGTAACAGATTTTCAGACTTTTAGAGGAAATCGTTTGTGAATGCAGGCGAGGCCCCTAAAATAAATTAAAATTTAGGCATTATTTACATATAAAAAATGTTTATGGTAACTAACTGTTTTATCTGTATTAAACTGGAAGTGTTGCAGACGACAMAAATTAAAGAAAAGAATAATCAAGTGTTTTTAGAGATCATTTTTATGACAGTAAGACTCAGACTTTTGCTGACACTGACGATTGTTGGATTCTCTTCTTCATATGAAATCTCTCAGCTTGACTTAAACAGATCCCATCATATGTAGGCTGAACAAACATGAATAATCTCCATTCAAATGCTGAATACACGGCTTTAGGGAGGTTTTCCCTCATGAAGATTATYGCAGACGCATGCAGTCAGGCCATAAAACACTTCTCAGGCAGATGCAGTTCAGTGTCAGAGTGATTTAGCTCCTGAGACTCCACAAACTCTGCCGCTYAAAACAAGCAGTTTAATCAGTAAGAGTCTGCAGAAAACACCCAGGGCATCGCCTTGAGATGACCACTCTGAAAAATCACAGCACCATGAGCAGTGTCTTAAGCTCTGGTCTAACATAAAGCACATGTTGTGAACTGTTGCTTGGCCACAGACCACACATACAGTACCTGCCTGCAATCAAAGAACATCTAAATGTCTGTAACCTCCTACAGCTTTCTGCTTTAGTGGAATCAGGGCCTTTTGATCTGATGGTGAGTGTGTATTTTCCAGCTTGTTGAGTTGTGTCGCTGATGTCTTGAGAATGTTTGGCCACTTAATAAACAGAGAACAAGGAGGCTGAAGAAAAACAAGCTGAGCTCTGTCTCAGTCTTTCCACTTCAGCATTTTCCACTTTTCTGCTGTCTTTAGGCGCGAAAACACTCAAACTCTGCTTTGAGTGGAAATTCCACAGCACAGTGTTCAAGACAGGCGCAAAACAAGAAGCGCTGCCTCACCTGTGACATAAATATACACATTATTGCTTCTCTAGGTGAGATCATCTTTAATCAGATGTCAGACAACAAAGGGGTTATAATGTGGAGAGGTCACCAGTTCATTACAGACCACACACATTTTTTAAATCCATTTAGAATCTCTAATACAATAAAATGGATGTTTTTGGATTGATGGAGGAAATTTAAGGGGATGTGTGCTTTTAAATCCTTATTTTTTTACATTTACATTTTTCATTTGGGGTCTATATAAAGTGGAACTGCAATGCTTTGGTCTGAAGTCCCCCACAAGCCCATCTTTCACCCGTGTGCTGAGGTGTGTCTCAAAGCAGCTCGTTTAAGTGCGGTCACTTTAAATGAAAATGAGACACTTCAGACCTCCAGGTTGCAGAGCGGTCCATCCCGTTCGGCTAATTTTTGTAGTTTGATAGCAGAGATACAACATACGACAGCACTGGACAAGACTAAATTCTGATTTTTTTTTTGCACTCCTAGAGATTCCAAGTACACAACAAATGGCAATTAACAAAAAAAGGGGATTTTGAATATGTTCCCTTTTAAGAACCCAGAAAAAAATCCTACACCCAAAAGGAAATGTTACAAATACCACAATAAATCAATCAGAACAAACTTAACTAAGTTTCTTTAAACTGATGCTGTTCAAAGAGCAATCTATAACAAGTAAGATATTTATAACCCGACCACAGAAACTTACTTCAACAGAGATCTGAGCTGCTGTTTCAAGGGGACAAAATTATCTTGTAGGTTAAAAAATCAAATCATATTCAATCAGTATTAACTCTGTGGTGTCATCTTTCCTCAGCACTTCATGCAAACTGAAAGTGGAAACATCATAAGCTCTGCCTTTTCAGCTTAACGTGAAGAGAAACCAGTTCTGAATGAGACCTGAGAAAACAAGACAAACTTCTTTGTGATTTTCTTTGACAGAGCTGGGTGGGAGAAGTGATTATAGCTGACTGCTATGAATATAAAAACCCCAGCAAGCCTGCATCTTTGTACTGGAACTCACTCAGTCAGCCGTCAAGACAATGGCTTACAGAAATGATGCAACAGTCAGCTCCCGGTTTCACAGATCAACCTCACAGGAACGTTTTCRCCACAGAAACCTCTCGGAGCCGAGAGGTGCACAAACAAAACAGTGACCTTTAGATGGACTCTGCCCAGTGATGAACAGAACTGTCACAAAGGCTCTGGTGAGAAAAGCTGACCGATGATGCTGCACTGACAACACCCGAACAAAAGGCTGGTGGCATTTAGCAGCTCTCCTTTGAACCGGGTGAACGACGAAGCCACCAGAAAGATTTCACCAGGTCAAAAATGTTGATAGCTGCATGTTTCATTTTGGTCAGCAGGCTATCATACTAGAGTGTGTGCACTCCAGTTGGAAGATGATATTGTGTGTGTGCATGTTTGATTGCTGGTAGATGAAGCTGACTGTAAAAAAGGCTGAGCGAGTCATATTTTAGTAAAAAAAACTGACTTTCGGCCATGTTGGCATGCTCTAAACATTTAGTTCGACTGATGACATTAAAGGGATCCCCGATTAGTTGTAACATTAGACTTTATTTAATAAACATATATTTTAACTGCAAAATAAAGACTGTAAAAAATACTGTAGGCTGCTTAGTTTTTATCATTTTAAAATTAAAATTTTAAAAAATATAACACGGACGGGGCCATTTCATTTACACACAAAGTATTCTGGGTAAATGATGACGTGGATAGGTCCTCGGTGCGAGGCTGCTAGTGAGCTATATCCACCCCGAAGTTTAATCTTGGACAATATCTGATGATCGACTCTTTTAAATGAAACCAGAGAGCGTTGACAGARAGGAGAAGGTAGAAATGACTCAGACTGTAACTGAAAATATGGATGGAGGACAACAGAGCTGCTTCATGGAAGAAGAGCCTCAGCTTAGCCTGTTAGCTTTAGCATTAGCCCAGATGCTATCACCATATATGTGTATTAGCTCAGCGCTACACATTCTCCTCTCGTCACTGAGGTCCTCCATCCACATGACAGAGAGGGGAACACAAAAATGACTCAGAATATGGATGGAGGACCTCAGTTTAGCTTGTTTATCGTGCTAGCGCTGAGCTAATACATATAAGCTAATGTAGCTAACAGGCTAAGCTGAGGTTCTTCTTCCATGAAGCAGCTCTGTTGTCCTCCATCCATATTTTCAGTTGCAGTCTGAGTCATTTCTACCTTCTCCTCTCTGTCAACGCTCTCTGGTTTCATTTAAAAGAGTCGATCATCAGATATTGTCCAGGATTAACCTTCAGGGTGGATATAGCTCGCTCACACAGAGGACCTATCCACGTCATCATTTACCCCCGAATGCTTTGTGTGTAAATAAAATGGCTCCGTACACGTTAAAATAGATTTTAAAAAATTTACAAAACCAAACTACAGTGTTTATTTTAAAGTTAAAATAAATGTTTATCAAATAAAGTCTAATGCTACATACAACTAATCATGGATCCCTTTAAAATCTTAGCTAAATCCAGACTCATTTTTTTTTTATTTTTCCTAAACGGCAGACTCAGCTAAAAAAAGGAGTGGTGAAGTACACAGGGGAAAGGGCACACAATAAAAGAAAAGCAGCATTTCATAGAAAGAAATTGATTCTGTGACTCGCTGATAAATCTCTGACCCAGAATCCTCTTATAGACCCAGCAGAGACTCTGCAGTGATAGAGATCGAGACAAAAATAAATAACTCTGTCCATTTTGGTCACTGACCCAAAAACATTTACCAAACATTTATTACAAAATATGACAGCATCTTTAAAGTTATGCACATTTATTATCGAGAACATCAATCTATCTATTAAACTATCAATAACTGTCCCATAGCTATTTCAGTGCTATATTAAAGCTATTCTTATACAAATCAACACAATGGCCTTAGTTTGGTTTATTCATGTAATCAATTATTGTTTACACCATATTTACTTTGTTAAATTTTCAAGATGGAGGCACCACTGATTTGGTGGACYAGAAATGAACCAAATCAGAGTTTTAGCTAAACAAAGATAATTTGTTTTATCATTTGAAACAAAAAGAATATCATGTAATAAAAATACTGATTGTCAAAAGACATGGAAATCTAAGTTTATCACTGACCTTTAAGTCTTTATTATTACTGATAATGTTGTTTAGTGCTTGTCTTGCAGCATGCGTTATATAAAAAACATTTCAGATAAAGAAGATAAAATAAAAATAAGGCAAAAGGATGTGAGTGTAGAAGAGGAAGAATGAATCTCACATTTCAACTTGTCCAACACCTGCATGTTAACGAGAAAAGCAGCAATCTGGACTGGTTGTTATGTATCTGCTACGATGATTGTAAAAAAGGGCTAAAATGTTCTAAATTATTATGAGGGTGGGAAGTGGGGGTAGGGGGCTTTCGTTTTTAAATAGTTTTCTTCGTGATGTTTGCTCAAAAAATGGAGCTTTTCAAAAAAAACAAATGTGTTAACATCTCCATAGACTTCAAATCAGATCCACTCGGGGAAAGTCCAACCTTTTGCAGCCAGATGTTTAGGTTTATGTTTAACTCTCCACAGTTCATGTCTTGCTTTGTGCTATTTTGACTGAAAACWCCCACTGAGACTGATCTAAAGGTCATCAGTTTTAGGCGTCAGAGCTTCTGTTGTCAGCACCTTCAGCATCAGGAGGGTAAYGGTACAACGGGTTGGAGAAGGACAGCTTGGCATCGCTCCAGTTCGAACCCTGATGTAATCAAACACACACGAACCCACACAGATTACATCACTGACACCTGCGCAAATAATTTAAGAGGCCAACAATGCAGACCCCTCACCTCCTGATCTCTTCTCCAGGGGTAGACGCTGATGGAAAGCCCGTGACCGTCACTTTTTTTTGGGTCAATGTCAGGACAACCAGCTGCTCTTTGGTCCACTGTTGGGAGCTGGAGGAGGAATGAAGAGCAAGGATGGCTTTTAATGTGTGAGCGTGTGACCTTTTAAATCCTTCATTAAAACAGTTTGTCATCTTCCATGTTTAACTGCTTCGTCAAACGTGTGCAAACACAAACAAACAAAAAAAACCAGACCTCAGGGGGATTATTACTAACAGTCTTCAGGCACAGCTTGGTAAAAGCTAGACAAAATCAGACCTCTGGGTTTCTATCATTTGTATCATCTGCAATAAATGCAAGAGAAAAATCTGCTTTCAGCAGTTCGTCTTCTATCTTAAACAACTGCTGGTGATCAGATGTTTTTTTATTATCTCTCTGTTGCCTAAAAATGTTTCTGAGGTCAATAAAGACCAAGAAAAATAATCCAAAGTTTGATGTGAACAGAAAAAAACATCTGTGTGTTTTTGGAGAATGCTTCAACCAGAAGAACGACCAAGAAAAACAGCTTTTTTGGCAGCATGCATGAGCTTTGGTGAGTTGAGGGTTTTATTTAATTTACAGGGTATTCTTTGTGTAATTGTGTGTCAGATATACGTAATGTTACATCACAGCGGGAGTGTGAGGACGGCTGACAGACCAGCTGATCTCAGATGTGCTCTGCCGTCCCTGTTTCCCTGAAAAACTATTTCCATTTGTGTTTGTGTCTCATCCGCCTCTTCAGCACAACACAGCTCAGTTTAATCAGTTTCACTACAATCAGCCTCACTTTTATGATTAGATTAGATATAGAAACATGTGTATTTATATTAGTGCGCTTGTGTGTTCTGACATCTATCTCCTAATGTTTTTTTCTTATTATTTTTTTTGCTACTAAACTCATTTGAATCCTCAAAGCCACCAAACAGCCATTATTCAAATGCACCAGCTGTTTTAGTAGCATCTCCTGTGCTGGATCTTTCTCATGATAGCTAGAATGAATACAGAGATCACAACTGCAGAAAGGAAAGCACACAGTGGGGGAACAATAACTGGAGCACCTGTGTGGCATATTACAACCCAGCGAGGATGACACGCCAGCCTCTAAAATCTCTCCTTGTGTGATATTTTTCTTCAGACTGCATCAGAAAAAAATAACAAATATATATTTTTCATCTTCTGGTTTTACATTTAATAGATCTGGTTGTTTACAGCTTCACAAGTTACACTGTGTAGTGCCAAAAGCAGCACACAAAGAAGCACAAAACCACAGAGGCGCTCATAAACAGCAAAATCAATAATCCTAAATCAAAGATTTAATCTAGCAGAAAGGCTCCGCGATCACCTCCTGACCTCCTCTCATGTTGGGTCCACTTATTTAATAAGCGGGAGAACAATGGTGGAAAAAAATTTGATTTGTGTGCCTAAGGAAGCCAATGTAACGTGAAACAAGTCCACTAGTGATTGATTTGACATTTTTGTACAACTGACCCCTGCTCTCCAGGCGGCGTTTGGATCGTCCATCACCACGTATTTCATTGGATCGGGCTTTCTGTGGAGCCAGCAAACATGCTCATCATCACCGTCAACATACGCAACGTCATATACAAAAAAAAGAAAAGCAGTGCCGCATTTTACTCACGTAAAATTGCATTTTTTCCTGCACAGAGCGAGAAAACACACGGCAACTCCAGCTGCGAGCAGCAGCAAACCGATGCTGATGGCAGCGTACACAGAATCTAAGAAAGAAGAATATTCCCTTTGAAGAGTTAGGAATAACAAAACTGAGGTAATTAAATTCAGATGATTTATTTATTTATTTATTTATTTATTTATTTATTTATTTATTTTACTCACGTAAAATTGCATTTTTTCCTGCACAG